CAATAATATTAATTAACTTCGGTTTAGATGTGTTTATTCCATTGAACAAATCACAGAGTTAACTTTTATGATTACAGATTTGAACAAATACGCACAAAAACATCAAAATTAGCACAGAAACAGTTCTATATAACATTTTAGACACATTCTAGACAGTTTATCAGCTAAAAAAAGTTAATTTTGGGGTAAGTTACTCTTTAACTACAACACCCACCACTACTACCAATCATTGCCCAGCAACACCCACCACTACTACCAATCATTACCCATAACCTCCCACCACTATTACCCATAACCCCCCACCACTAATACCCTTAACCCCCCACCATTACTACCCATCATCACCCACCAATACCCACCAACACCCACCACTACTACCAATCATTACCCAGCAACACCCACCACTACCACCAATCATTACCCATAACCTCCCACTACTACTACCCATAACCCCCACCACTAATACCAATTATTAACCATAACCCCACCCCTACTGCCCATCACCACCCACCAACACCCCTACCCATCATTAACTACAACACCCACCACTACTACCCATCATCACCCACCAACACCCACCACTACTACCAATCATTATGCATAACCCCTCACCATTACTACCCAAAATTAACTACATCCACCAACCATTACTACCCATCTCCACCCACCACTACCACACTACATCACCCACCCCCTCCCACCACTACTACACTACACAACCCACCACTACTACCCACCATTACTACTCATCATTACCCCTCCAATACTACACATCACCGCTACCCACCAATACCACCCATCAGCACCATCACTACCACCCTGTATAACCCATCACCATCAATCACCACCATGCATCACAACACAGCACCAACCCCCACCATCCATTCTCATTTAGTTGAAAAATAAAACGTGTTTTGTTCTCCCAGGAGGCTATAATGTTTCTTCAGAGTCCCAGGAGTCCAAGGCTCCATCCAGTAAGGACCCGACCACCTGGTCTGTGGAGGATGTGGTTTGGTTCATCAGGGATGCAGACCCTCAGGCTCTTGGTCCTCACACAGATGTCTTTAGAAAACACGTGAGTCAGCAGTTTTCTTGCCTCTTTAAACTCCTGAGTTAGCAGTACAAACCTAACCTGATTGTTTTTAATGTAAACTTCTGCTTCTCTCAGGAGATTGATGGGAACGCTTTGTTGCTCCTTAAGAGCGACATGATCATGAAGTACCTTGGCCTGAAGCTTGGGCCGGCCCTGAAGCTTTGCTTTCACATCGACAGACTGAAGCAAACCAAGTTCTGAGAGCTTTTTCTTTTTTTCACAACCCAACAGAACTGTGAGCGAGGTCACTTCCTGAGATGACAGGTTTGTGGTCCAAAGCAAGGAAGGGGTTGTGTTGTTTCATTTAGGGTCTCCTCAAACAAGCTTCATCACTTATTTATATCCCCCCCAAAATGTTAGTTCACAGGTAACTCAGAATAACTCTAAAATAAATGACACCAAACGGACACATCAGGATGTATCCAAACAGCTTTATCTTCAGGCCTGAAGATAAAGGTTAATGGATGATACTGTTTTTACATACAGTTTACATACTGTTAGCAAAATATCTCATGAACCAGTGGATGAATCTCAATAAAACTTTCAGAAAGTAATCATTGTGAAGTCAAACCCAGTAACAGATTTAAACATAAGAGGTTAGAGGTTGAAAACGGCTCTATAAAACATCTTTAGTTTAATTACTGGAGTTTCTGTGGTGCAGTAGTCAGCATGTTACTTTCAGTAGACAGCAGTGAGAACAACAGCAATTTAGAAAATCAGAGAAACAATCTTCAACTAAAAGCTGGCCTGACTAAGATCTGTTCCAGACCAGAGTGGACTTCAGTCATTAAAGTGTAACCTACCCCGCACTGTGAAAAGGTAACTCCGCCCCAAGGCGAAATTTTAAAAATGCATCAAAGTGGGTAGGGGATGGGGTGTGGGTAGGGGAGGGGGGGGGTTAGAG